CTCTAGGCTCACTGCCAACAGAGGTCACCTATCCTAACAGGCTGTTCACTTCAGCCACAGTTACCACGGTGACAGCATGTCACCATTGCCCTAGTGTCCTTCTAGGTAAGGTGGAAACCAATGCATCACTGCCCTTGATGGATTTGTCAATAATACTTAGCAGGGGAGGGGACTGCTCACATAACACTTGCAGGCCTCCAGTCCCTGAGCAGTTTGGTGTGATTTAATTGTCTGAAGAGGTGTGTGCTTCTGCATATATGCAGGAACTAAGCAGTGGTCACAGGCAGAGGGAGTTAGCAGTGGAGCTGACTGTGTTTGAAAGCCTTGGGAAAACAGCATAGAAAATAACAGACAGCCAGAGCCAGGTCCAGGTTGGTGTTCCATTAACCAAGTTGCTGTGTAAGTAAGAAATAACCTGAAGCTTCTCAGATTAAGAATTTATTAGCTACAAAATTTTAATACATTACTCATGAGTGGAAATGGAGTTGCGTATTAATGCCCCCAAGGCTTAGATTCAGCAGCAACATTTCTAGACACCCACTTGCAGACCATAGATGTTCACCAGGAAAAGTCCATAAGGGAAAATTTGGGGAGCCAGGAATGATTGACGGGGGCTCCCTCTTTTTCTCTCCTCCTACGTCCCCCCACCTCCTTCTCCCTCCCTTCTCTCACTTGCCCGGTCTCTCATCACTACCTATGACCTGCAACCTTCTCCTTGCTCAAAAACAACCATGACTCCGAAAGTGTGAAGCAGATAGGACACTCAGAAGGGGCATTTTAAGCCAGTCTCTTCATCATCTGTTTTTAAAAACCAGAGTTTTCAGGTTTTAAACATTTTATCATTTGTTGCACCTATTAAAACTGACCAGTGAAGAGGGAGCCAAGAGCATTTCGGCACTGCAGAGTGGCATGAAGCCTCTTTAGCAATGAAAAAAATCTCAGCTCCAGGGACTCTGGGGAATCACCGTGTTCCAGAACCTTCACTGTCATTTAACATAAAGCATAAAGGTTAACACTGAATGAAATAATACCCTGGCTGATTATTTTGATAATCTCAAAGTACAACTTTTTCCCCTGGATTGCTGTTATAGAATATGTGGACTGTACATGCTTTGGGGTTGTTTTCCACTTTCCTCCTGTCTCATAGGAGAATAGCATTCAGGCAAATCCCCAGCAGTGACTATGTGAATCTCCCTTGGAGTCATTCATTCCCTTATAGCAAAAAACTGGCAGCTATGGCGATCTGAAGAAATGTTAATTTCTACTAGTGAGTTATGTTTAATGATTTTTTTTTCTTACCTCAAAAAAAGGGAGAAAAAATCATTTTTATACTGGTGGTCTGAATTATAAGAAACATCAAAATAAATTACAAATTCTCCACTGAAGAAATAACTATTCGCCACATTGAGACAGGGTGATGTTAAGGGTGTGCAGACAAAGGTAATGCAGGGCCTCCGCTTAATTGCCCTGACATCGTGCTTAGTTCCTCCAGCGACACTCTGAGAGCTAAAAATCTCTCATTGTTATTAATTGTATTCCTTTTAGAATGTAATGTCATATCGCTGCAGGCTGAGCTAATGAAACATACCCATATTACCAAAATAGGCATATTTCTTTTTGTTCAACTCGTTCTATCAAAACTGTCTGCTAAAGACATTGTGTTAAAGATCCTTTCATAGTGTAATATAAAGAAGATCTCAACTACCTCAACATTTCTATTACACAATTACTAAAATGCCCAGGAGGACTAAACAATATAGTGTGAATTCAGTTATCCTATAAGACTTTAGAAATATTGCTAATTCCTGCCTCTGATTTATGTTAATATTAATGCTAGATTACATGCTATGGCTTCTGAACAGCCGCTGCATACCAATTCGTACAAAGGCAGGGTGCTCTCATGCATCGGTGCTATATGCCTCTATTATAATGAGAATCTGAATTATTTATCTCTATTTATCCTACAGGAGTTCACCTGACCCCAGTCCCATTTTCTTTTCCTAGTGCACATCAATGCGTGTAAACATGACTTCAGAGCTGCTGCACACTTTATATGTGCTGTTCTGTTTCAGCTACAAGGCGTAGCAATAGGCAGTAGACAAAATGTTACACCACTAAGAGAATTCATTTAAGCATTTATTTGAGGTAAACTCTCCTAATTAAGTCAACTTTAACACAGACACGCAAATGGCACCATGCATATGTGTCTGGCGCCTGAACATCATCTGGTGAGCCCAAAGGAAGTCAGGCAGTGACAGGCCAAGGAGACGGTTAATAAATTCAGCCTCTCCTTCCCATAACCTTTCTGTTAGAAAAACGTTTGTCTGTGGGGGTTAAGAGGCTCTGCGAGTTCCTGCAGGAAGATGGGCTTTTCATTCTTTGGCTTGTACATACATCAGCTACATTAAGATCTGGTTCTGATTTTGCTTTGATACTTACTCAAGTTGGTCTGCTGAATGACCAGCAAGTTCTTTTCCTTGCTCAAGGAAAGGCCAACTTGAGTTGGAATGATTGGAAGTCATAGGTGAGATTCAGATTCTTAGCTGAATGGCCTTAGCTTTCTGGGATGGGGAAGATTCCAGAGGGTCTGCAGTGTGAAAGAGGACTTTCATGGTAGGGTATTGTGGGGATGAAGCATTTGCAAAGCACTACAAAGCCAGATTCGTACAAAGGCAGGGTGCTCCCATGTTGTTGCCAGCAATTGGACTTGCAATGTTTTAGGTAGCCCAAAGTAGCACATTAAAGTGGCACTGTCTCCTTTGAAGAGTATGTTGCCAGCAATTGGACTTGCAATGTTTTAGGTAGCCCAAAGTAGCACATTAAAGTGGCACTGTCTCCTTTGAAGAGTATGTTGCCAGCAATTGGACTTGCAATGTTTTAGGTAGCCCAAAGTAGCACATTAAAGTGGCACTGTCTCCTTTGAAGAGTATGTTGCCAGCAATTGGACTTGCAATGTTTTAGGTAGCCCAAAGTAGCACATTAAAGTGGCACTGTCTCCTTTGAAGAGTATGTTGCCAGCAATTGGATTTGCAATGTTTTAGGTAGCCCAAAGTAGCACATTAAAGTGGCACTCTCTCCTTTGCAGCTGTGGGGAACTGTTTGAGGGTCAACTGCTAAGCACTAATTGTCAGAGAGTGAACCATTCAACTCAATTGGGTGATCAAATAATGTACCTTTAGTTCATCTGAACCCGTTACAGTGTAGTCTATCAGATGTCACTGACAGGGCCACTGAAAAGTGTACATAAAGTAGGAGTGAAATGGGTGTAGCAAAAAATCCTGGAAAGGTGAGTTTGTATTTATATACAAAAGCAAACAAAAAATCAAGTGATAAAGTATGAATGAGCATATACTGCAAAGGGCAATACAGTGGAATGAATCCAGTTAATAACCAATCATCTGTGAAATGTGAATCTCAAGAATATGAAAACATTAGGATTGTGAGACTGGGGCTTTGAATCGTGTAGGATATAGTAACATCATTTATAGTGTTCCTTGTCTAAATTGTGGTGTAATATATGACATGGCACACTCTTCTTTAATAGACCCTGTAGAAAAGCAAATTCAAATGTATACTGAGATACATCAGTTCCTGTCCTTTACATTACATGTCTGATGTATAGGACAATGTATATCAGTTCCTGTCCTTTACACATTCCAAGCCCTCCAAGGTTGAAGCTCTTAAGGCTCTGGTACCTGGGGTGCAAGAGAGGGGCATGGAGGAGGTGAGAGCCGGGCAGGTGGACCATGCAGTTTGGGTAGAGAAAGGCAGACAGTGGGTCTCTGGGCTTACTGAATTCCTCAGGTCAGACCTCCCAGTGAGTTCATTAAACAGGTAGGAAATGGAGCCATTATTCCAGAGATTCTAGCCAGCCCCAAGACCTAGTATGAACCCCATGGATATTTAACCAGCACAGACAACTGCCATCGCAGTGACAAGGCCCAGCTGGGATGAGGATGGATTTGGAAATGAGCATCTGGACACCTGGAACTCCTAGCTGGCTGGCTGCTCATGTGCATCCTGGTCTGTTAGCTCAATAGTATGACCTTTCATCTCACACAATTGAATTTGTTGGGTTCCACTCATAGCATCATAGAAGACTTTTACTACTAATTTTCTTTCTTTTAAAATGTCATTCTATTATAAGAGTAATACCTGCAATTTTTAACGTAGACCATAGACTATTTTACAAACTGCATACTTCCACTTTATGCATATAGTGGAAATCTCTTTATTTCTACCCTCCAGGGTTAACTACTGTAACTGTTTGCTGAATGGTATGTCAGATTTTACTTACATATTTATTAATATGCAACTGAAGAAGATTTTTGTTTTAGCAAAATTAAGTTCAGTGTCCTATTAGACATTAATGACTGTATTCGTTTTCTGGGGCTGCTGTAACAAATTACCACAAACTGAGTGGTTTAAAACAACAGAAATGTATTCTGCAGGCCAGAAGTTCAAAATCAAGGTATCAGCAGGGCCGTGGCTCTGAGGTTTTAAGAGGGAATGTGTTCCAGGCCTCTTTTCTAGCTTCTAGTGTCTTCCAGCGATCCTCACCCTCCTTAGCTCACGGTTTCATCACTCTAATTTCTGCTTTTCTCTGCAGGATGCCATCTGCCCTCTGTGTGTCTGTGTCCAAAATATTCTCTTAGAAATTCTGGTCCTTGGATTAGAGCCCACTCTACTTCAGTATGACCATCTTAACTTGATCACATCTGCAAAGACCCCGTTTCCAAATATGGTCACATTCTCAGGTTTCGGGGATTTAGACTTGAACATACCTTTCAAGGGGACATACTTCAATCCACAGCAATGGGAACATATTTGGCTGGTGGTAGCCTTTGAAAGTCATGAATAAATAGGAAAAGAGTTTTCAGTTGGCTTGCTTGCTTACTTCATTGGCATACAAATAATTTTCTATATTCATGTGGTTCCAGTTGGCAATTGTTCCTCACACAGTTTCTAATTTTTTTTTTTTTTTTTTTTTTTTTGCTGCATAGAATGGTCTTCCTCACTCTAAGATTATAGAAATACTTTGTATTCATTTTTTTTTCCTATTGCATCTTTGACTCATTGGAATTTATTTTGATGAGAAGTAAAACAGAGATCCAGTTTTATTTTTTTCAAAGGGCTAGTTGACTAGTTCACAATCCGCATGTAATACCCCAGCTATTCTGCTTGGAATGTCCTTTTTATAATATAGATAATGGGTCAGTAGTTGGGTTTATTTCTAGACTGCCCATTGGATCTATTAATCTGTGCATTTATTCCTGTCCCTCTACAATGTCTCCTAGTTTTTATTATTGCGGCTTTATGTTGCATTTTAGTGTCTGGTAGAGATTGTTTTCTGTTGCTGCTCTTCTTTTCTCCTTCTAGAAGTGTCCTGGCTAATCCCAAATAAATGCTTATTCTTCCAGATAAACCTTGGTATCCTTTTTGTCATGCTAAAACAGGAAGTTCTATTCGGATTGTGCTGGGAAGGACTGACTTATTCAACCTGTCAATATCTGCTCTGTGCCAGCCAAGTTTTTTCTCCATTATGCGATTATTTTTCTTTAAGTCTTTCAGCAGATTTTTATAGTTTTCTCCATATAGATTTTGGACGTTGCCTGTATAATTTATTCTTAAGCATGTCGTGTTTTTGTTTGTTTTTCTATTGTGAATGGAATCTTTGAATTACGCCCCGATTTCTCCTCCTACTCATTCTCCACATCAATCTGTTGACAAGTACTGGCAGTCCTTTCTGCATCTGAAATATACATCAAACCTGTGCATGTTTCCCTGTATCCATCCTACCGCCATCTCTCTCTCACCTGGGCCACAGCTTTCCACCCACACTTTCTACGATCTATTCTCTGTATATCTGTCGGGGCTGGCTTTCTCAGCAGTCCACAAAATCATACCAACACCCCTACCTTTCGGGCCTTCGGTGGCATATTGAACGTGAAAAAAGACCCAGCAGGCGTACTGTGGGATCCTGCCCCGGTCCCTCTCGCCATCCTGGCTCCTTCCCATCTCTCTAACACGCCAAGCTCCTTTTCTGCAGCTCTTTCCCTGTTTCTTTTGTGCTGCCTTCTCTGCCTTCCTCTGGCTCTTTGCATGAGTAGATACCTCTCATCCATCACATCTCAGCTCCTATTCCACCTTCTAGGAGAGGCCTTCCTGGGCCACTCTAGACAACGCAGGACTTTCCCCAATCACCTGTCCCTGACCTCTCTAATTCCAACATCCCATCCCCTCATTCTCCTGAATTTCTTCATAGCATTTGCCGTTGCCTGAAAAGTCTTGTGTATCTACTTGTATATTTGCTTTTAGGGCATTATTTCCTTTAATTACAAAGCAAGTGATTGGAGAAAATCTACTCACCTATTTTAGCTGTGTCGCTGGGGCACAAAGGAGCCTCTCAAGATAAAGAGCATTGAGCAAATACGTGGATGTTGCCTCTGCTTTCTTCTCTTGTCTTATATTTGCAGAATAAGAAGCTATTACTATTATTTTTTGAAGTAACTATTCCTTTTGCTTTTGACTAAGGCTTGCTTTAATCCTCATGGGATTTTCCATGTATCCTATTACATCATCTGCAAGTAATAAAAATGTTGCCTCCTTCTTTCCACCACTTATATTTCTCATTTTGTTATTTTAATTACTTTGACTAGTACTTCTAGAACAATTTTAAATAATATTGGTGATAACAGGGCCCCTTGAGTTGGTATTGACTTTAGTCACTCACTTCTCTTGTAGGGTTTTACTCTAAAGCATGATACTATGATACGGATACTACAATAAATGTGTGATTGTTTGTGCGTGCGTGTGTGTGTGTGATTTTATCATGTTAAGAATGCATGCATCTAGACCTATTATAGAAAGGTTTCTAAAAGTCAAGATTAAATATTGTCTTCATTAAGACACATTTCAGTACTTGTTCAGGTTAACAAATTATTGGTGATTAATTTATTAAAGTGGTGAATTGCATGAATAAATTTATTAATATTAAATTATTATTACCTTCCTAGATGAAGTCCGTTTGGTGTTTTTAAAGAGTACCTGGCCATTTCTATTTACTAATATTTTATTCAGGATCTTTGCAGCAACATGAGTGAGTACCCACAGACACGGATAGTTCACTTTCCTGGGCTGCCATTGATGAATATGCTTTGGGATGAGGGCATCTCTAGAAGCAAAGTTAAAAAAGAAAAGGAAAAAGAAACCGAGATTCAGAACTTATATCTTCACACAGGTTTATAACATGGTAAAACAGTGATAATTTTGTAGAAATAGCTCTGGATGAGAAGATGAGAGGGTAAAATCATTCTTTAAGAGTAAGAAGTCAAGAACTGTAGAAGAAAGACGAGTGAATTTTCAAGAGCACATGACTCCCTTGTCCAAGGAGAAAGGAGCAGCTGAGGAATCTCCCACTGCTAATCTATCCTCACTCATCAAGGAGTCCACTGTGACCTCATGATCCTCTATGATCTAATGCTGATACATAAGCAGAGTAAAAGAAGCTAGGATCAACTCTAATCGAGCAAATGTGAGCAAGATTTCCCTGTCTCGCAGCTGGGTGACCACTCAGGTTTATTTAAATCCAGTTTAAATATGGTTTCCTGAATGATTTTCCAATGGTCTACGGCAAAGAATGTAAGAATCAATCCTTAAGCTAGGCAATGCATGGAGACATCAGTTATGCTAAAATATTTAAATTATTTCATAAGAGTAGATAATGACGCATAGTGTATTGTGTGTTGCTGATAATACTAGAAAAGACTTAGGGAAGATGGATGTAAGTGTATATTTTAAAACACTCTTTTTCCTTCTTTCTTTCTTTCTCTTTTTTCTTTTTTAAGTACTTGCGCTTTTTAAAGATTCCTAGAGAACCAGATGGGTGATAAAAAGCCTCCAAATACCAGGTTTTACATGTGATACTAATATTGGGAGGAAAAAGTGACATTAGAAATTATTTAGTTATTCTGAAATCTGTCACTTCTTGAAAACAGAATCAGAATTCGAAAATAAAATTTCTAATTAGAAATTGTAACACTGTATTCTTACATGTTCAATGCAAGAAGTGAATCACGAGGCCAAAAGTCCTTAAGACAGTCACCCCAGGGCCTTCGTTGGAGCCCAAGCCTCTGCCTTTCACCTGAGAAAGAATTTCCAAACTGCCTGATGTGGGAGAAAACTATGTCCATGTTCCCACTGGGAACCAGATGATCCCCTGAGAATTTGGATGAGAATCTGGAAGACATGCTGGAAAAGACCCACAGGTGGCACCCTGGGATACAAAAGGAAGACTCCAACACCGGACAAGGGGTGTCGTGTTACTGCAAGAAACCAGTGTCATGAGATGAAGCTCTAAGGCACCAGTGATCCTAGAGTCTCACCTGGGGGCTTGATGCTGCCCCTGTTCCGGCTGGTCATGGCCCTCTGTGTCTGTGCCTGCCCTTCAGCCTCTGCTCACCACTGGCTGTGCCCCTCACAGCTGCCTGTGCCAGGGTGCTGGCTGCAGGCTGGGCCAGGTCAGGCTGCCTCCCAGCTGGGCTGCCCACAGCCACAGTCAACTCCCATTTTGACATGAAGCCATATAAATGGAAATCCAGTTTTACAAAGCGCAAGTGACTGGTAATGAAGACGTGACTGATGCTTATGCGAATTTTATTTAATTTTAAATCAATTGTGGATTCTAATTCATTAATAAAAGGAAAAAATCATGCAGGAATGCCTAATCTCTTGTCATTATTCAAATACAAGAGAGTACTTCTTCATATATAATTCTTAGGGAAATTGTCAATTTCCCATTTTCTCTGAAAATCTATTTTTATAGAAAAATGTGGACCCGACTCATTCTGTAAAAAATTAGATTTGGCTTTATTGGACATTACATAAACAAGAAAAAAAAAAGGTCCAACCAAACGCTTGACTGAATTTTTCACCATTTCATCATTTTTGTTATTATATAGATGGTCTAAAAATAACATTATGATCAACCAACAACTTGGCTTTGATGATAATGAAGTATCTGAGGAAAACACAGTAGCCTCTGTGACAGACTCAAGCACTAAAAATGGGCTACAATAGAGAGACGTGGGTTTTCCTTATGGGGTTCAAGCTCTTCAGCTCATGTCTTCTTTGGGCTGCTCAGCTTTCCCTGGGGTCAAGTGAAGGTCAACGTTGGACAACTGTGATGGTTCTAGCTCTCTCTGCCTCCCCTAAGACTTAGAAAAGCAAAATGTCTACAAGCAGCTTCTTCTCTCTGTATGAATTAAATGGAAAGGAAAGAAATGCTATGTCTGAGTTTTTTCCTCCACTCAATGGGCCCTTCCTTGACTTGCGTTCCGCTGACAGCCATGCAACTAACTACAGGCAGATCATATAAACTCTCCAGGTCTTATTTCACTCATCTGTAAAATAACAATACCTACCTCATAGTACTAACATGACAGTTAATTAGAGACGATTTATCAACTGTTGTGACAGTGAAGTGCCTAGTAGGCTGCTAAAGTCATAGTAAGTACCCAAAATGTTAGCTAATTTTACTACCATATCTGAAGGAGATTATAAAACTCTCCACATGGAAGAAAGATTTTGAATTTATTGAGAGTTTAACAAACAGTTGGAGGTTTTGCAAAATAAGGTTAAGAAAGAGGAAAACTGTACACAGTTGGCCCTCTATATCTATGGGTTTCACATTCATGGATTAAACCAACTGTGGATGTAAAATACTCAGAAAACAAAAGAAAGAAAAAAGAACAATGCAACTATAAAAAAATAAAAATTAAAAAATACAGTATAACAACTATTTACATAGTATTGACATTGTATCTGGTATTGTAAGTAATCTAGAAATGATTTAAAGTATACAGGAGGATGTACATAGGTCATATGCATATACCTGGCCTTTTAATATCAGAGACTTGAGAGTTCATGGGTTTTTAATAGCCCAAGGGGTCCTGGACCCAAATGCCCAAGGGTACTAAGGGACAACTTTATGGTCAAAATGTGCATCATAGGTCTGGCATGATGGCTCATACCTATAATCAGACTGGTCTTGAACTCCTGACCTACAGGATCACCTGGTCAACCTGGTGAAATCCCATCTCTACTAAAATACAAACACACACACACACACACATTAGCCAGGTGTGGTAGTGAACACCTGTAATCCCACCTACTTGGGAGGCTGAAGCAGGAAGAATCACTTGAACACAGGAGGCAGAAGTTGCAGTGAGCTATTGAGCCACTGCACTCCAGTCTGGGTGACAGCGCAAGACTCCATCTTAAAAAAAAATTGTGCCACATGGCTACATACAGTCATAAGACATTGCAAGGGATGTGCTGAAAGGGAAATGCTTCCTGTGATGAGCCAGGTGGTAGGCAGAGTAGAACAGCAGAGCAGGACATAAAGCTGCAGTTTGGGAAGAGAAGTGTGATGGGAACCATGTCCTGGAAGCCTGGGAGATGCACATCTCCCAGGTTCATGGCTGGCTTTGAGGACTTAAAAGGCCCTACCTGTCCCCTGATACAGAGACAATGAAAAACATGAATTTATCCATGAGCGTTTCAAATTAAAAAACAAAGATAAGGAGGATAGTGGAGGAAAAGATGTGGAAGAGAAAGAAAAGGACACCAAAGAAAGGAACCATCCGAGACTTGGAAGCACGAAAAGCTGATTCAGGAAATTCCACCTATCCGAGACCCACACACGTGGTCTTTGGAGAGAGGGAGAGAAGCTTTAAGCAACACAGAAAAGTATGTCCTGTAAAGAAACACGGAAATACAAGTATATAATATTATTATATTAAAAATTTAAGAGCCAATTCTCAAAAAGTCTTTATCCTGAAACCAAGGCTGACTGCACCACGTCTGTTGACAGCTCTTTGGGTGTTCACACCACCCAAAGGCCCAAGTGCAGAGCCCCACAGGCCCTCTCTACCTCCAGCACCCAGGATGCCCTGTCATGGGAGCCATCCCCTCCAGGCATTTGGGGCAGTGTGTTTGATTGCTGTCACTGCACAGAGCAGTGCCGAGTTTGTTCCTATTGGCTGGGCAAGCATCAAGCACAGAACCTAGCATGTTGTAGGTGCTTAACAAGTGTTTTTTGAATAAATGACGGAAGGGGGAAGGAGGGTGTTTGGGTCTAGGGAAGCCTCTACTGTAGCTGAGATCACTCATAGGCGTCATTGTCCACTCAGCCCTCACGGAAGCTAGCTCTGCTTCTCCTCTTGACTGCTCTTTGCATTCCCACCCCAAAGCCCACCATTTAAAAGCATGCTCAAAAAATCACGCGAGGGGGAGTCCCCACAGGAGTTGCTAACAGAAGGATAATCTGCTCAAATTCAATACCTGGGTAGCTTATTTTCTCTTTCATACTTCCAAAGAGCCATTTTTTATCCCCTATCTTTAGAGTTTAAAGAGAAGACTCAAGACATGTACTTTATTTATTTTCTTATTTTCTCTTTTTATTTTATTTCTACGTAATGGTGCTCCAAGCCTGAACACTGAGCCTGACCTGGGTCATATGCACAACACGACAGGTTGAACGTCAATGTGCGGTCATTTGCTTTGCTGGGGACACCTCTTGCCCGCCAGGATGAGCACACATGGCAGTGAACAGCCCCGGCACCCTACGGGAGGAAGATGCCATGATGTCAGCATCCCTTCTGACTCTGAGATGTGTGACATTCACCATGCCAATGTCACTGTCACCTTGCAGATCAGTCTGGGTTTGCTTAGGACAGAAGATTCTGGAATGTGTTCAAGAATTACTCATCTCTAGACTTTTAAAACCCAATACATTTTCATACTACTTGAATTATTACTTTCAAGATGTGTGTTTTTATTTCATTTACCTAGATTGAAAAGAAAAACACATAGTGGGGCTTACTAAGTAAACGGTCACAGAGTTGCAAACCACTTGGATGCGGGCAATTGAAACACACCTTTGTCAGGCCTTGTTCTCCAGCCCACAGCCAGAGGCAGTGCTTGTGACTGTGACAGGCCATGCAGATGCGGTCCTGTTGACCTTTTTATTTTTTTTAAAGAATAGAACTCTCATCTGTGGTTGGTGTTCCTAACACCATCTGCTGTGTCTATCAGAGCTCGGTAAGCAGTTACTATCAGAAGACTCAGGCAGCCAGTGCTGAAATCACCACTCGTCCGGGAATCACGCAATCGAAGGCTCTACTGTGGGAGTTAACGCAGGACAGAGCATCAGTAACATGTGTGTGAATAAGGTTGATTCACCAAGGCCAAGATGAGAGCTACAATCTTCAGCATTGGCATTTTTAAAACCTTTTCATTGAAATATAACACACAGACAGAAAATGTACCCATACCTGGGCACCCTGAACATCAGCCTGATACATCTTCATGTCGTTGTATTCACATTCTTGTTATTGGGATGAATAACTAACTACTTGGAAAATAAACAGAAGCTAAGCACATTTGATTATCAGTCATTACAATGAAAAAAATACCTACAAGCATACAAAAATTTTGTCTTTTAGTGGAGGCTCATTCACAGTGAATGTCCAGTTTTTATATCTGAGAAACCCCTGGAAGGTACAGAAAATCCAGCTAGGTTTTCTATTGTCTCTCACATTCACTTTTCCTTCCAACTCTCTGTCAAAGCTGCATACTGA